ATCTTTTCTATTTGCACTAGTTATACCACTTTGTGTAGAATATTTTTAAGGTTGTTGAAACACTTGGACTTTTTTTTTTTTTATAATGTAAATCAACTATAACCCACAGAGAACTGCAAGCTGACAGCTGTCATATTCTAGCAGAGACAGGCAGTGTTCAGCCTTTTCTCGTTCCAGTTCTCTCCCAGGTGAGAGATATAGCATATCCCACTCCTGCAGTGATGGCGAAAAAGCAAGAACAAGCTCTAGATGAGAAGACAGAGAAGAGTGAACGTCACTTTCCTCCCATTCTCTAGCCTGTATTTCTCCCTTCTCATCAAGGCTGTATTCAACTCTATCATTTTTTCAGTTCTTTTATTTCTGAAAGGTTTTAATCCTGCTGCATACTGAGGTTTCTGAACTGCCACATTTTTATCACCTCTAAATAATGGAGGAAGTCATTAAACAGAAGCATTATCCAGTCTGCTTTAGATAAAAAAAGTCAGAGAAGACTGAAAATTCACTGATTTCTGTTGCAGAGGTTCACTAGAACAAGCCAGACTGAATAGCCACATTATTAAAAGATTATAAATGCAAGTTCATACATGGCAGACATTGGTCCTTCATCTCACTGAAAGCTCATATCTTAGAAATGTGGGGTTCTACATCAATGAACCTCTGTCAGGCTCAATGGCAGTTTTGTGATGCAGACAAATAGCTATTTGAAACTGGTTTGAGACAGTCAATGTTTTTAACCTGAGGCAAACTTGTATTGTAGTGATAGAAATAAGGCTATTAATGAACTCACCAATATTTAGCTATTCCTGTTGTGTCTCCCATTGGTCAAATTTCATAAGTCTAGCACTGTACTGCCCAGGGCAAGAAAATGAAATAGGAACCACTTTCATCAGGAAAAGGTCAAAGCTCTCCTTATTTAAAGGAGGGAATCAGGACTCAGTACTACTTTATACTGAAGATGAATTGTTCGATAATCCCAGTATAGAGTCAAGTAGGCAAATTTTAAAAGCTTCAAATCTGTATTTTTTGCATCTCAATCTCTTAACATTTTTTTTCTGGAACAGAAAAATTCTCACTCTATACATGCTTTCTACAATAGCATACTAATAAAACACTATAAAATTAGAGGCTAGCCTTTATACTCAAGATGTTTCAAACTGTTTCTGAGCTCAGGATTCAATGAGAGCAGAAAACTGGTCACTATTCTGCTTCGAGGAGAAGCAGAAAGTGAGATCTTTCCATCAATGCAGGCAAGTAACAGCTTCAGTCATCAGAAAGCTTTTACTGAGCACAGCAACATCACATACCTGCATATGCACGAAGAACAAAAGTGTAAGTGATAAGTGTACTGTATAGAAATTATTCTTTTCTTTGGAGTTAGTGTGGTTCATAACTCTAAAGTTGCTCTGTTTCCCCACTTTTTTTTTAGCACCAACCCTTAACAGTGCAGTTACTAGGGCACAATGATATTAAAAGTCTGTAACGAGATTAGCAAAGTTGCGGGGGAGGGGGGGAACAAAACAAAAATTAACAGATATTCAGGAGGTTCTCTATTTTAGCCCAATTCTGTCTTGGCTAGACCCAACTTGCTTGGCTGCCTTTTTTGCCCTTGCACTCAATGCTTACACCAGGTAGAGAAGGACATAACAGAAAAACCCTACTAAATGCTGCTCCAACAGCTTAGCAACATAGTCATTTCAAGGTCTCTTGAGACCCTCAGAAACTGCAATCCTTCCTCCAATGCCACAGGTTGGAACTGTAGCAGCATTAAAGAAGTCACCAGTTGGAAAGCTTGGCCACACTTCACTGTTGGCACCAAAAGCCCCTTTCATAGCTACTTTCTTCTTAACATTTTTCTAAAAATTCTATTCTATACCTGACCGTGAAGCTGACAACTCCCTGAAGGGCTAGCTTTTACCTCGTACTCTGAATAGCAACTGAAGTTTGTGCTATTATTCCCACTTTACAAATAGAAAGCAGGTCAGGAAACAAGGCACAAGTCTAAAACAAACCACATGAAACCAATTACTTTTCAGTTCTGTGCATTCAAAGCTTTAGGTCTCTGGCTATTTGAAATTCCAACTAGAAAGTGAAATTTTTAATAGTGATGTTTCAGACATCAGGACAACAACGCATTTTAATTTGTTTCCTGTATCTATTACCCTTGTGTGCTTGTGAGTGCCAGCTAAGTTTAGTAACTAATTAGATTTGAGTCACAATTCCACTAGAGGTCTGGATCAGTAATTCACCAAGCAGGAAACAAAACATCTCTTGTTGAAATAACTGTAGCTTTATTTGAGTTTTTTTTTTTTCCCCTCAAAAAAAGGGTTTAAAGAGGAGGAAGTCATCCAGTAGCCATACAAACCTCATTGTGTGCTTCCATTTTAGAAGCCACAAAATAGGTCATGCTCAAGTCAAGTGAAACCTCTGGCTGACACAAGTATTTTAAATCATCTGAGCTTTGACACTCGAGTAACTGCTATCAAAGATCATCCTGAATATAATTAGTAGTTCCAATACTAATTTTTCCTCTTTACACTGAAATCAGACATTTTCAATACAAACACTACTTTCCATTGTTCTCAACAAAGCATACTGAACAGCTGCAAAAACACTCCTTCAACAAAGAACAACCGGGTAAGGTCATTACCAAAGAAGAAGCAAGCAGTAACACAAAAGATTTCACACTCCTGTAAAAAGGGCAGCTTATTAGTATAGTACAAAGAATCTTATAATACTGAGAAAACACAAGGGCCCAGGGTTTCCTCAGAGACAAGTGTATAAACCAGAGCTATTCTGCTACTGCATAGTAGGAGGTTACATCCAGGGGTGAGGGGATAGACAAAAGTATCAATAACTTTGAACAAAGAGAACTTGAAGAGTTAGCACCAAGAAGGAAACAGCTAGCTTGGAAAGATTACAATATTATAAAACTTTTGTAACAAGTACATAAGGATTAACCCACTGCAGGTCTTAGAATCTGCAAAAGCAAAATCAAGGTGAAGTCAGTGTGGAATCCCTGGCAGAATTTGATCTGCTACTAAAGTACTTAAAATTCAACCAAACTCTACAAGTGGTAAGAGGTAAAGCTTTGAAAGTTCCATGAATACTCATAATCCCACAGCTGTATGACAAAATTCACACAAATCCAGAATAAAACAATACACCTCTGCCTCAATGAAGGGGAAAGTCCTAGCTTTCCAGTCTTGTGCATTGCCCTAGGACAGTCAATGAGAAACAGCTAATGCAACAGGACACTTGTAGCACTGCTCTCCCTGCTTTGCAAGGCTCCCCAACTCGCTAGATAAAAAAAGTTAGAAATCAGTGCACCTAGCCCTTACCCCACTTCACAATAGACAAAGTAGAGCAAGTTGACTTTCTTCCACACAAATGTGTACCTTCATGTATCTTCGTCGACCTTTGCAAAAAGAGTAAAAGGGTCAATGTTCAGAGCCTCTCCGGACTCAAACAGCTTTCACTGACTGTGTAATTGTTTGTGCTGTGCTTGGTTATTGGGATACACTGGGGCTTCACACGCTTCTAAGTACTGCCAAAAGAGAAGAGTTAAATAATAAACCTATACACAGATGAGTTTTACCCAGGAGGGATACAATGGCCTTGTATACAAGACAGAACTAAAATTTCAGGTAACTTTGTATTCCCACAGTCTTCCCAAAACCCTGTCTCACCTTGACCCATCCCCTTGGTCTTTAAACCTCTGTCAGTGCATCTACTTGCTATAAGCATAAGAGTTAAGCAACTGCTAGAGGAGAAAAGGTTGGGGGGGAAATGCAAGTTTGCCAGAACAGCAAATAATTCCACAAATCTTATAAGGGTTTCTGTGTCAAGTCTTGGAGGCTTTTTAAGGGGTAAGTAATGGAGAACATATTTATGTAAAATCTGAAGTCCAGCTTCAGAAGTACAACAAAGAGAGAAACAAAAAATAGTCACCTTTGGGTGACTTTAGGACTTGCTTTCCTCAACCACACATGAATATAAAGACTACTGCAGTTGCCAAGTTTACATGCAATACTTGTCACCTTCTAACCACCCCCCACCTGCATTGGCCCCCTGTCCCCAAAGACTCCCAAAAAACCAGCCTCAGGGTAGGGCAAGCACAACATCACTAGTGCTCTGCTGGCCTATATAACTACATTAACAAAGCATAGCAACCCTTCCTGCCTTATCATTCTCATCTCACTTGTACTACTACGCACTTCCAAGGTTCACGTATCCTTTTCCCTGCTCCCCCGAGGAAATATAGAGAACTATGAACATGACTATGAAGGCTGTAACAAAGAGTAAAAGCTATTTGTACTGAACTATAAAGAAAGAGAATAAATTTTTTTATACCTTGAATAGAACATGTTGCTAATTAAAGCATTTGAATTATCTAAGAATACATGCCAGAAAAAATACTGTATTAAGAAGAAAAGGATATTAAGCAAGCAAGCACTCCTGCAGCATGCAATGAGATGGTTGACTTGGGAGGCTAATGAATTAGTATAAACAATTTAAATCTAATTTAATTTAACAATGTAGAGCATTTGTGCATTGCAAAGCAACAGATAGTAATTTGTTTCTTCATTAAATCAAAGATAAAATTGCTGATTACCCTTCCATGAATTATTTTATTGAAGAAGATGGCAAACAAATTTTATATTTAGCCATAAAGGCTCATGGCTAGTCCCCAAACAAATGTAACCAGTGAAGGATACCAGTGAACATAATACAGACCAGCTGTGGCTTAGGGCAACATGTTATTCAGACAAAATAGATTCTCACATTTTAACAGTTAGTGATCAAATGTTTATACAGAAAATTAATATTGCATTTTAAGTTTACTTTTTATTTCCACAAAACATATCTAAACAGCACATTGTCTATTCACAATCTTTAAATGTGTTAAAATTATACATTGAGAATGCTGAGCATTTGGTACTGCCAGAAGTACTAAAATTATTAAACCCCCCTCTATTTTACAGATTAATTTATGAACTTACCTCAAAAGTGTTACCGGTGATATCAAATTCTGGTGGAACAAAGGCACCCTCTGGATCATCTTTGAAAGCAAAAGGAAATGTGTCAGATTAGAAATTAGTAGTGTTGCTTGTTTAAAAATCAAACCAATTTGATGATACAAATTTAATGATAAAGATTTAGTGAAAGAAACCATGTATATAGCAGTATGTTGGTTCACTCATATCTGATGTACAAAGAAATTATCCATGTTTCTAGTACTGTATGAAAAATAAAGTGCTATTTTCAAACTTCCTGCAAGAAGATACTATACTTTTCCTACTAAGAAACAAAACAGACAGAACAACCCCAAAGAAATACATTTACCATGCCTAACCACTTCTTGCCTTCAGACATTTATGTTTGGACCAAGTTATAGCCTGTTTCAGCTGTGGCTCTCAGGTTTGATTTGACTAACAGGACATTTCCATTCACTATTTTTTCACTGCAGACCTGAGTGATAAGGGTTCAAGCAGCAAAACCATCCTGAACAGCTAATTGCCTCTTCATCTACAGGCCAGCTTAGAATCTTGACCTTTCTGCTTAGTTTGTTTTAGTTATGGTAAGAGTTGAGGAAGCACATTCCCTACCTGTGTGCCGCTCAGCGGAGAACAATGCTACTGCAGCAGCCACTTCTGAGTGAAGAGGCAAAAGGAAGAAAGGAACATCTTAAGAGAGATCAATGGTGCTGCTGCATCCAAGCATGCACACAGTATCACACTGTTCTGATGCCACATGAACCCAATAAAGAACACCAGGGGATTAAAAAAAGTGCCTGGCTAAAAACCTACACTTTGTGTACATATTCAATTCACCTAGACTATGCTTCTGTGAAGCCAATGGATGACTGAGATTGTTTACAAGAAAAGACTAAGTCTCCCTTCTCGACCAGGAGGAAAAAAAGTATGCTCACAGGCATAATGTACTCATCATAGCTTTAGCTCTAATAGAACTTTTGTGCCTGGATTTTAGAAATGAAATGCAAAGCTTTTTTATCGTGAAGATACTAAACTCAGTTATATGGTAGAGAAGATGAGAGAGGACTTTTTTTACATATTCATGTATTGCAGCTATCTGGCATGGCTGACTACCCAAGGTGCCACTAACTGGTTTACAGTTCCTTATGATGTTCCTGATTGTATTTTCCCACTGAAAAAAAAAAAGAAAAAAAAAGAGGGGTACACAACTAGTCCTGCATTCTCCCCTCACCCCATGTTTTTTTTCCCCTGATATTTGGGGGGGTGGGCGGAAGGGGAAGGTAACTAATGGACAGAAGATGTTTTGTCCCCCACCCCCAGACTTCTGATCCTTCTTTTTGACTCCCCGCTACCTTTTCCTTTCTTTCAAAAGAACACTTCAAAGGCTGTAGAAGCATATAATTTTTATCACTGGTAAAGCTCACTGTATTCTTTTAATATAATGTTTACAATGGGAATTTGTCTGATTTGAAGAGACAAGAAGATATCTGAGCCCTTGGCAGAACATCCTATTGAATGCTTGTCACTTTAGCATCATAAAACCTGCAGTAAGCAGAACTCCACTAAAGCAAAGGTGACAGGCTGTTCATTTTCTCTCACTAGCAAGAAAATTCAGAGGTTATAATTTCCTTCTAGAAGAATAATCCATAGGCAACAACTATAGGTAAGCAAAAAGCACAACCTCCCCAAGTACCTACCTAACACACTATATTTTAACCAAATAGTAACAAGAGCTGAGAGAAAGGGGAAGAAAAAGAGTCAAATACAGTGGAGTGTGGGGGGGGGAAAGAGAATATATACATAACTTTTTGCATTCCTAGGAAAAACACAACTTTCTTTAAAGAGAACTAATGAAAAGTCTTTTCCTCAGAGACTAACATGACTTCAGGGAACAAAATCTTTGTACATTTGCTTCGCACAGGAATTTGTTATCCCACATTTTAAGCACTTGAATACAGCAAATTCCTGGATCAATTGTTTGCCAGCTATTCAATTAGACTAAAACATTTAAGAAGAAATTGATTTTTTTCTTTCCAAGCTGCAAGCAAAGATCTTAGTTGAGGGGCATTTTTCATCCACTAATTTATTCTTTTCAACAATTCTTTCACATACTGCTATGAATACAAAGCCAGCTTTTTTTTTTTAAATTTCAAATTATGACTTGAAATTCCCTAAAATAAAGGAAATTGATTCTATATGGAACTAAAAGTTCTCTCACATGTTTGAGAAATTTAAGCCAAAACGAATACAACAATGATGAAGATATAATTTGTATTAATTACATTTTATGATGTTACATGCTTACTTGAAGTACTATCCTTAATTCTAAAGAAGGCAACAAATATTAATTTGTTGCCATTACCTTACCTCATTTTTTCTAAATACTTTTAGTCAAGATCTAGATTACAGAATAAACACTTATTCTGATATAGATTTAAAAATAAATTAGGTTAAAGGAAACACAACAAAACCCTGAATAGTGTGTATACGGACTAGAACAGTTCTTCTAGTTACAAGCTGTCATAATTTTAAAATGACTATAGAGTAAGGGCTGGGTATTTTTTTTCCTTTTGTTTTGTAATATCCCTAACAGGCTCAAGAAAAAGACTGTTGAGATGGGTCATGTGAAAAGGAAATAGCAACAATAACATGGCTTTTTTGTCTGCTGAACTCAGAAGTAATTTTTTAAGTTAAGCATCCCCCCATTCATCTGCTGTCATATCTCAAGATCTTACATGCTACAACATACTGGGTTTTAGCATATTAAAATTCATTTCTCAGTCAGTCACCACACTTGCCGAGCCTAAAAATCATGACTAAAAAAATACAATCCTTTATTCAAGAGAGCTTTCCTTCCTAATAGTGAATATGCACTAGAATCGCTCCATTCTCTATGGCCACAATCATCAAGATACATTGAATGTGAGATTTCTCTAGAAATAGAACATATTCATGAAATGAGAAGAACTGGAATAGACTAAGAATGTGCTTTACATAGGTAAAGACTTATGCACACAGATACACAAATACATAACCTACCGTGTTAAAAATGGAGATAAATTACATTCCCCTGGATAAGTCTTAAAGTAACTTGTAAGAATCTTCTAAGCAAACTCATAAAAGCCTTTGTTCATCAATCATACAACTGAGCATGTAGTTTCATATAGACTTATACTCACCCATTCCTAAACAAGTTTTTGTTTTCTCTTTATTTTAATTACAAGTCTTCAGAATAGAATATAATGCTTTACTACAGTTTCTCACTACGAGTTTCCATAGTTCTAAAACAAATGGCCTGGAAACACAAATACTTGCCACTGAGCTGTTCCATGAAGCATACATTGCCATTGGTGTTAAAAGCCAAAGTGTCAGGAGTGATGCAGAGCGTCTGGAAGATTGCAGAATGGGCAATGCTCTTCAGAGAATGGCAACACTCCAGGCAAATTGCCCAAATATCTTGCTCAGTAAGACAGCTCTCCCGCAGTGACAAAATATCAGCAAGGGACACATTCTCCTGCCAAGATATGAATTCATAAATTACCCTGGATTTCATGACATTACTTTGTGTATCATAGATTACATTTGACACAATTGGCTACAAATAATGTTTCCAGCAAGTTCTCAGACCTTCTGGGACACTGATTAACACCCCAAGAAACAATAAGCGCATGACTTTGCTCTTAACACAGACAGTCTCTTAAGAAGCACTGTTAACCTGAACAAAGGTATCGCAGTATGTTATCATCAAAAAATACTATGGGAGCTATGCAAGTTACATAAACATTGCATCAAAGTTACAGAAACAGACCATTCAGAGGTGAAAGCAGACAGATAAAGTTAAAACATTTTGTTTAACCCATGCCTCCCTTAAGCTCTCCCAGGTGCCTTTGGATAAACTACTTAAAAATTCTCTTCACAGCAGCTTTCTCTACCATCTGTGATCTGGGAAAAAATACCCTCTAAATTAGCCTGCCTTAAGAATGATGCTGTTGTGAAGTTTAGTGCTGTAGGCCATTTAATAAAACACTCAAAAAGCCAAACAAGCCATAGTAAAAGAGTTCTTACACTTTGACTTTAAAACCAAACACTTTGGTCATTGTAGGCCTTCCCATTACACTCAGCGCTCTTAGTAATCAAAACAGCTCATGGACTTAATCTCCAAGTTACTGTCCTAAACTGCAAGTCAACTTCCTTTGACCTCATCATCACAGTAAGGCTATAAAAAGTCCAGTTCCAAAAAAATGTGGCTCTAATGTGGTTTTTCTGGTCAAGATATTCAGAAACAATGCTTAGCTCAAAGCAGCTAGCCTTTTAATGTACGGTTTTTAGAATACAAAATTAATACATTACCCATAGCTACAGAAGTAAAGTTTTCACGAACTTAAAGGAATGACGAAAAACATACAAACAAACGGTCAGTTCCTTCTGTAAGGAAACATAAGCTAACAAAACTGGAAGTATCTACAGAAGTTACTTTTCATCAAAGCTATACCATATTAATTACACAAAATATTTTCTCCTTTATATGTAGTAATTAAGACTAAAGTACACTTCTGAATGATATTAAATATACCTTGAATTGAAGATGTAGCTGCACATTCTTTTTTCTGTATTCTAAGTAAAGTATGTCATCCTCAGCAAAACAGAATGTGAGGTATCTTACAGCTCAGAAAACTGTAGTGGTTCAAACTTTTAATCCCTTGGAAAATACAGTTACAACTTTCTTTATGTACCTTAGTACTGGAGAACATCAATGATATTTGGATTATCATTTACAGAAGGGTTAAGCATTTGTTAACTTGTTTTTCAGAGAATGAAGTGCTACACTCACAATATCCTTCAAAGAAGGACTAACTCTTAGGCAAAAAATTTATTTTGCTCTTTAGTCTTAAACATGAAAAAAAACCTACAGGAAATAAAGTACACTTACTATTATTTGGGAAACTTAACTTCTATTTTCAATATTCTAGTTTTCATCAGCCTAAAGATGGATTGATTTACTGACGGCAGCGTCACCACAGTGCCTTCTAGCGCTAATCACAGACCCTGGTCTCACTGAGCTCAGCCCTACACAAATAACGAACAGCAAAAGCCCTTACAGTTCAGGTACACGAGACAAAACATCTCATTTTCTCTGTGCTGTCCTCAGCACCGTATGTCTAATGCTACCATCAGATTTTGAGGGTGGATAAGGAGGTTTTGCACATCTTTATGGGGAACTTCTTCCAAGCATGAAGGGCAGCACAGAGGTTCCTGTATCTGAAAACACAAACGTATGAGAAGAAGCTAGACCACAAACCATCAGGCTTTGAAGCTGACCAAAACAATAGGTAGGACAGAAAGGAAAGACAAATTATTTTTAACTGCTAGGATCATGCAGCTAGGTGACATGACGGCATTTGCCAAAACTGCACAAAAAGAATGTTTCATTAATCAAGATGCAAAACTATGAAAGTTTCATCTGTGCATACGGACAAGAAAGGCTCAATTTAGAGATTATGTGAAATAAAAACCGCAGCCTTTAAGACATCCTCAGTATCAAATTCCAGGCACAATCAGGACTTGGTAACATTTCTTTTAAGGCATTCTTTGAGGTCAAGGTCTATGGTGGATATTAATCATCAATAGCGATAACTACATTTAAACCTACAAAACCATCTTTGTCTTGTGGCTACTTGGGGAGCAAACGGAAGATGATGATCTCATGTCAGACAAACTTTCCCACCCCCTAGAAGGAAGATAAGTTAGGTAACACAGGGGCAAAAAAAAAGCAACAAAAAACCCCAAAAACCAAAACACCAAAAGGAAAAAAAAAAGAAAAAAGAAAAAAAAAAGGCCTATGAATGGAAGCTCAGTAGCTTCCATCAGTGATGGATGGCTAAGTGAAGATAAAAAAAACAAAGCAAAACACCGCCATCAAACAGCAAGCCTTTCTCTTTCCAATGCTCCAGGATGTAAAGTTATTTACTTCACAGAATCCATGTGTTTCTCAAAAGACCACACTATCTCGACCTTAGTCATTAAAGCTGCTATTGTGGCAAAGCAAGGCCTTTGTAGAGAATGAAGCATTGCAAACATCAAGACATGCATTTGACTAGTTTACACCTCCAAAGCAGTTCAGAGACAAAGTTTTCACCGCAGAAAAAAAAAAACCCTTTTAAGACAGTAACATATGAGTTTCCGCCAAGCCGAAGCTTCTGGCAATCCATGACCTCAGTACTTTGGACTACTGAAAGTTGGTTCACTCAAATTACAGGAAAACTTGAGCATGTTTCATAACAGAGATGCTGATGCATTTTCTCTCGTCTCATTATCAGTAAAAGATATTTGTAAAAGCAATTACTGTTTAATAACTATGAAAAGTGAACTGGTCAGACAACCATGCTTTAATTATTCACTTTAGTTCTCAATTTTCCCTTATATTTTCTTCAGAAAGTATAAAACAGTTCAGTAGCATGTAATTAAGCTGAGAATGAGAGAGCAGGAAGAGAAAACAAATTAGTTGGCCGGACAACTTCTTAAAAATTTTGAAATTAAATATTAATGAGTGCAAGACAAAGTCTAGTAAAGAAAGGCATTTGAAATACACCCTCACCCTCAGTATTTCCTGCTCAGGCAGCCTCTTGCTTCATATATTGGCTTTTGTAAGCCACATACATCAGACACCAACCTCATTCCTTATACTACATACAGCGGCAAGAAGCACAGGCTCCTCTAAATGACTAAGCAGCTGAGGGTTAGGTACATCAGCATTCACAGCTTTCTGGCACCTAAGTCTTTTTCCCAAGATAGTTCACACAAACTTCAAAACAATCTGTCTGGAATCACAGAAAATTTGGCAAATGCCATTCATTAAATTAATCACATTTTAAGACTGTACTTAATGCACGGTTGCCTGGGTGAGCTTGCTGAGTACTCTTCAAGTCAGCCCTTTCTTTACAAACATCTCTAATCACCAAGTGATAGGTCACACTCATTCTCTCAACAGGAGTATTGAAAATATTCACATCCCTGGAATAACTAAATAGAAGGGACTAGTAGGAATCCACAATCAAAGTCAATCCTGAACAGGTGTGAGGGCTCAGGTCTTCCTCACACAGAAGAGCTGACCCTCAGCCTTCTCCCATGCTGAAGAAATACTCAAAAAATTTAAGCTAATGTGTAAAAAGGAGGCTGCTACCATCTTCCTTCTATATTTTGCATGAGCCAGTATGAGAGGGCCTACTAGCCTGAACAGTACAGATGGGAGGAAAAGCCAAACCACTGAGCCATTAGATGACTTGTGAAACCTGGAAAGGACTCTTCATTTTCAAACTCATTTTTAAATCCCTATTCAGCTTGGGTTCCTGACATAGCAAATAAGTAAGTTTGCAAGACCTGGTCTGGGGAACAAGTGGCTCACATACGGTTCACCAAACTTTTACTTAAAGAAAAAAAACCACAAAATATTTTGCCCAAACTTTCACTAGTGGGTAAGGAACACCCTTCATGTGGAAGGATACAAAGAAAGATGAGCAAGAGCAATAAAAAGCAAGTGCAAAACCAAGTACAAATCCAGACAAGCATGACGACAGAACTGGGTTTAGCTACAGGTTATTTGGCATTAACAACTGAACTAACAGATTTAACAGTTTGGGTTTGTTTGTTTGTTTGCTTTTTTTTTATTTCCCAGTAACAAAAGCCTTTTAACACAAGAAAGCAAGAAATGGCTGTACAGAAATCTGGTTGGCAGCTACCAGAAACAGTTTTGCCCATGTAAGAAATTTCACTTCATCAGGTGAGACAAGGACACGCACGTCCCGACTGCAGCACGGACCCACCGCACGGCAGCGGCCAGGACACGTTCCACACTCGAGGACCATGACTTTGCTGTTGCGTGGAGAAGGTGCACGGGGACGGACTAAGCCCAACTTGGTGGCTGGAATCACCGGGCAGGAGAAAGCGAGGACACGCCGAAAGCAAACGGCTATGCCGACGCGGCCTAGCCGCCCCCGGCGAGGCGGGCGAGCCCCC